AGGATGTTAATATAATAACAAAATTAAAATTATAGACACAAAAGGTAATTTGATTATATCACGTACTCCTAATTATATCATAAATGTTATTTAAACGATAAGTATTTCTCTAATCTCTAATTTCTCTGCCCGTATTAGACTAGAGATAGAGATTGAAAGAGAAAACCAATATCAAGTTTAGTAAACTTTGCTTTAATTGATCAAGTTAAATTAATTTCAATCTCTAATATGATACGGACAAAAAAGAAATAATTATAAATAATATAGAGACTAAAATCACTCAATACTAACAAAAATGGTTGCAATTACTATAATTTAACTATGATTTATAGTCATTTTCGGTGTCAGCATATATTTTTTAATAGAACCATAAATATAATAATTATTAATAACATTATAGCAGCAATATCTATAAAACGGAGCTCCTCACCATAATTATTTTACCACACAATTATAGTCACAAATACCAAACACTCTTCTCTCAATATACAAGATAGTATTTTTATATAAAAAACTAATTGCAGAAAATGTGTTAATAATTTATCAATTTACTACTTCGTATAAACGTGCAGCAACGATAATACCGTGTATACCGGCTCCGAACGTACAAGGGTTGAAAAAAATTTCAATTACACGCCGTATGATGCGGTATAAGAGGATAGTCGCACCGTGGCAATGAATTCTGCTTGTGCGAGTGGAGAGCTATAATTACGCGATGCACTACATGAAAGAGATGTCATAACATTGCCCGCAAAACGGAAGACGCTGGTAAATCCGCATGCTGATTGACTTCTGATCCCGAGAACGTTGTGCATCGCGGCGTTTCAGGCGCATCGAGAAAATGCATCGCAACCAGTTTTCCTCCGGGGCATCGTAGGCTTCTCTCTTTCTTTTGCATGATAATCGCTCCACAGTCCGCGTATCCTGTGAGCTATTTTCTCGTTGAAGTGGACGAAACCACGAGAGCCCTCGTGAAAACTCGATTAGAAGCGGATAATAATTAAGTTCGCTAATTTGCTCTTGTCGGAATCGCCGCTGGCCGCACTTAATTTGCCATTTACTGCCGCGAGAAAATATTGATGAGTGCGATAAAGGTGGGTTGGGTTTCCGTGCCTTGCTTTTTAGTAATACACTGAATCGCTACCGGATTAATAAATAATGATAGCTCGGAGACAAGTTCGCGAGATCGAGGCGGAAACGAAAGTAATAAAGGATTCCGCAAGCAAGCGTGCAGTAGCAAGTTGCAAACGTATTGGAAATTGCACACAGTTAGAATATTTACAAATAGCACTCGGCTGTAGCAAAGCAATCAAATGTTTATTTTAAGATTCTAGTTCAGTTTTGGAAAAATATTTAAATAATAAATGTCAATACGTGGTCAAAATTTAAAAACAGGAGAAATTGAAGGTATATACCACGAGCGCTCGATATATATGCCTTCAATTTCTCTTGTTTTTAAATATTTAAATCTTATACCTTAGTCATCAACCTCGTAGAAATAATTTACGTTTAATTTACAATCACAATTTTGATCTATTTAATCCTTCCGTCAATGCATAGGTACGTAAATACTTATATCAAATTTTAAACGTAGTAAAAATTTATATATTTTATTTAAATTGCGTTATAATGTTTCAAAAATTCTATAGGTAGCAAAGAACAGTTTTACACAGATTTTATTTCATTTTTACTTTTACATTTTAACATCTAAAAATTTAGTTGGTTACAGATTTGAAAATAATTTTGTTGGACGTCAAAATATGATGTAGGACGCTCAAATTAGAATATCAAAACTTTTTGTAGTATTATTCCATTATATTTGAGATTCCTACGAAATTATTTTAATAGTTTAATAAAATGATTTTCGGATTTGTATGTAGTTAAATTATGGGTCAATTCTAAACAAAATCGTAAGACTCGTAACTTGTTCTTGTAAAACTCGTAAGAACTTATGACTAGTATTCTAATTTTATGCTTACCTATCGTAAGATGTACGATTTCTCGTAAATCTTATGACTAGAAAGAAGCTGTCTATAAAAATATTAAGTATAAAGATATAAGCACTTAAAAATTGTTATAAGTCTTACGATTCCGTTTAGAATTTAGTTACATCAGTAAAAAACAGTTCTTTCCGTGTAGGAAACACAGCAGTAAAAAGATGAAAAATTATGCATTAACAGAAAGATTAAAATTTAAATCTATAGAATATACAGGGGTATAAATTTTCAAATAAATATCTGGTACTCTGGGAGGTAAATTACAACCTTGAACCGCATGTTTTGTGAGATCGTAAAAATGAAAACAGGATTTTCGGGATTTCGCCAACCTCGCGCTTCGGGACTGTCGTGCCGATCTTTCCGTCCGATATCGTCGCGTGCGCCTTATTTGCAAGCTGAGAATAAAGCGGTTGTATCTTTGGAAATCTCTGCACGATTTCCTTAAGTTATCATTACCGGTATTTATCGGTGAGTCGGATGAATGACGCTACGATCGGCTACCACAAATACTTAATTAAGCCCATCACAATCTACGATTAATTACATGCGCGCGCCGAGTACGAGTGAATTTAATGAAGTTAATTAAGAATCTAATATCGCGGGAAGCGTTCATCGACCATCTCGTACGTGCGATTATACCGGAATCTTTTAGTCCGGCGAACTATCCTATTGCCGCTTGATACTTTACGATGTACACTTGCGAGGCGTTCGATTGATGGACGATTGAAAATATAAAGTCCACTTTGGAAAATGCAGCGAGATAAATTGGCTAACGGATCGCGATAGGAAAGCTAATATCACTCGCAAATTTTTGTCCTCGCGATCGCGTGACCGATAAACGTGGTGTGAATTATGCGAAATCCATGTGTCCGATTGCAAGGACTTTAGAGGCTGTGACCTCATCGCAATGTATCATTATCAAGTGTCCAAGAAAACGGGAAGGACGCTTGAATTAGAGCGACAAGCTGTACCGTTGAATTTGTACGCAATTCGTATTTTTACACTTTTCTAAACGAAAGAGAGATTATCAGTTTTTTTTTTACTCTAGATTTTAATACTAAAAGTACCAACCGGTCATTATAATTGCACTGAGAAAAAAATATTTTAATTTAAAAAAGAAATATTTCTTTGCTCGTATTCAAACAAATTATTACTTTAGATCAATGAAAATTTCTTTGAAAATGTGTTTTTTAAAGTAAAAAGAATATCTTCAAAGAAATTTTCATTGAGCCAAAATAATCATTTGTATGAATACGAGCAAAGAAATATTTCTTTGAAATTAAGATATTTTTTTCTCAGTGTGTGTTTACTTTGTAGATTAATATTAACAATAATAATAATAATAATTTTATTGGATGCAGATAATAAAGAGACAAATATATAAATGCAGTAATAAATAAAGACATTAATTCCAGACAAAAGGCGAGACTGCAGTTAGATGCTGATTCGACTCCTAGTATAATCTGAAAATATATTCAATATAGCGTGACTAACACATAAATTAATGTAAACAATAAGCGGAAAGTATTACAAATATTTGCAATATAAATTGTACAACAGAAAATGTGTGAAGAGAACAGAAAAGAAGTGATAATACAAATGTTGGTTTATATTTCTTGTATAAAGATAGATTCTGAAATTTTTTAGCTTTTCAATAATTATGTTTTTTATATTGATGAAATATTTAATTTTTCATCACTTTCTTTATTTTCATAGTAATTTATTTGCTTGATCCTTTTAGTAAATAAGAAACGTTGATACTTCTAGTGTTAAACCGTTTCTTACGGAGAATGAAGATGAAAGATATACATATGTATAGGTACAGATATGTATTGTTTAAAAAACATCTCAATAATACTTACGATTTACTGATAATCCGTGAGATAATCGAACGATGTAGGAAAAACGCTTGCGATTGCTTCCTTCTTGTGCGTCTATTTATGCGCGTGGGTTACACTTGACGATCGATCTACATTCCGAAATGTATCGTATGATATCTTAATCGAGATCTGATATTTTACCGGCGGTGCCGGCGGCGGTTATGATTGCAATTGGTTAGCCAGGTTGTCGACGTTGCAGCCTGGTTACAACTAGCTCGAGAATAGAAATCCAGTTTTCGGCGGACTCACATGATCATAAAAGTTGCCAACCTGTTCCTCGGACACGATCTTACGGTGATTCTAGCACTGACCAGTCGGTCAGAGCATCAAGATATCACGTGATTTCCGTAATCATCATTCGCCGATTCGCTCTGCTCCAAGTGATAATAAACAAGTTCGCAAAGAAATTCCTCGTCGCAACTTATCGTATTATCGCTTTATTATAAATTTGGAACTTATCATAACTTGATGTTGTTTCGATAAACCAATCGGCCATTGGATCTACTATGGAACTGTATATGGAAAGAACAGTTTTACTAAAGTATCTGAAAATGTAACTACAGATCCGGCCATTCAAGCTGGTTGCTAGAATATCAAAATTTTTTGCAACATTGCTTATCATATTGGAATTTCTTACATAATTATTTCGACTTCTAATAAAATTATTTTCAAACCTGTATCCATAGTTTATGCTTGAGATTCCTACATAATCATTTTGTTGGTTTAATAACTATTTTCAATTCTGTATCTAGCAATTAACATGCTTGAGTTTCCCTTTTTTTTGTTTAATGAAATTATTTTCAGATCTGTATTTAGCTAAATTTTTAGACTTTTTAACAAAATTGTTCTTTCCTGCTGTTATTAATTTTACTTATAATTATGTCCATCAATTTTTTATGAAATCTCTAAGTTCTAAGCAACTTTAAGCAGCACATATATAATTCTAATTAAATTGTAATATAATTGTATATGATTTTAAAATAATTCTATCTCTAATTCTTACGTCTCTATCGAAATATCTATTTTCTTTTGTATTCCAACAATTTTATTCGGCAAAGTTCAACAGCATACTCGATACACTTTATATAAACATCATAGCGATAATGGCACGCATTTTGTTCTGGATCGCTGACGCACATGTTATTGTTAGTTTTCAACTGTATTGCTCCAATACGCTTCGCAACGAAATACTTAATCACAGACGTTCTATGATAACTAGAGCCGAAGGGTTGTCGGATTCACTGATCGTCTTCCGAGTGCATAGTGTTCAACAGAGCGAAGAAAGAGTACGAGCCTCGCAGGATCTACGAAAAATTCACAGTAAATTATCGATCCATCTTTTGTGATTCAATCGCGAATAATAAACGACGTAATTCGCGAGTGCGTAAAAAAACCGTGCTAAGGAAAATTTAATTGAGAAATCTATGTAATTACTAGTTAAAATAGTCAACTCCAAATTATTTCGTGAGTTATTTTAACTCTGATTTAAATTATTTCGGGTACACACACAAGAAAATCTTCGGATACACGAATCAGTGCTTGGCTATTTAGACTTCGTAGGTACTTTAATAGTGTCTTTAGGCATTCTGTTGTATCAGACAATCGCGCGACCATCGATTTAATATGCAGTTGCTCACGAAGTATGGGCGGAGAACGCTTCGCCTCTCTGCACGTGCTAGAGATGCGTTTTGATCTTCATATATTCCTTCTGGACTTTTATGGAGTTCCATTCGCAACATCCGGTGTTCCATTCTTTTATCCCGATGTATTTACGACTATCGGCATCAACTTGCCGCAGGTGAAGAAAAATAAAATTGCCATACGTACACACATACACACACACACACACACCATGCGCATACGAAGCAACAGCGAAAAAACGCTGTACTTTATTTGAATCGGTGAGTGCAGAAAAGGGAAAACGGTTATCAAATTTTTCAGTATTAACAAAAACTGTTTAACTTCAATTCCAATGAAAAAAATTAACAAATTTACTTTTGAGAATTTAAATATGACATTCAATAATGTTTTTTAAACATTCTTAATTCCTGAAATCTTGTCTATTAAATGAAAAACTTAAATTTCAAATTTTTGGACTCACGTCTTTTTTGTTCAACGTTGGTCAAAAAAATTAAAAATGTTACTTTATGTGTCTCAAATTATGTTAAATAATAATTATAAATTACAAGGAACAATTTAATTGGGATAATACACAAATTAATTTTGGAAACACTGAAGTTAAAACACTAACTATTAACACAATAATAATTACAACGGGACTCTCGAATTATAAACAATATAAAAATAAATAGAAGTAGGCTAGTGAGAGTCAGCATAGGTAACCAGCGCAATTTCTTAGTGAATAATTAATACTCAGAAGTTGTAATGATGTCTTCTTTATTTGATTCAACTCTCTTTGGAATCCTCCTCAACAAAGTAATTACAATAGAATGAATAACTCACATGTATAATGCTAATGAATATATGTATATAATAATGAATAAGTCACTCACAAATTGGCAAAGATGAAGTGTTATTGATCTGATAAATTAAAAAAAACTAACTATTAAACTATCTTTTCTGGTTGTTTAGTCGTTGGTCATTCAAAAATCAATCAAAAAAGCTTTTACATTTTAATGGGATATAGGATTCCATTTTTTTCAAATCTTGAATCTTGCTAGTCTTGGATTCGTGACCTCTCTACACTACTCTCTACACTCTCTACGTTTTCAACTATCTATTTAAACTTTTTAGGTTCTTCAAAGCCTAGGAAAAGTACCCTATTTCATATAGAAAGCGTACTTATCCATTTCATGATCAAAAAGAAGTTAGAAGAAAAACTTATTTTCGAATAAAATTGGACTCGTCCTCTTTTTACACTAACCGATTCATTTAAAGTTATTAATCTTCCAGTGAAACGCGACTCATCTAATTCATGCAAATCATATTTTTTGTCAATGTCTCGCCGAGTTCGTTGGATCTCTCTGGAAAGTTCACGGAATTGCGCGAGAAATACGCTTCGATCACTATAATATATTCGTCTTCCTCCTCAAGTGCCTATCTGATGGCTTTAATTTCATTTAATTATTATGATCTCACTCGATACTTTTCCTACACTATGCGTACCAGAAGTATCACGCGGTACTCAACCGGTTTGAGGATATGATCATCGATGCGTTTTTGAAGATATACTCACCGCGGTGAATGTCTCCATGGATAAAGCGTAGAACACACCTGCTTTCAGATTTATTGCTTTTCTTGAAAATATTATGGACAGTATTAGCAGACGTCCAGACTTGGCGGAAATGTCATCATTCCATTTTGAAAGCCACTGGCTTTGCGTCAACGATGCGCTCTGTAAGATCGTAAATCCAATGCGATGTGGAAGTTCGCCTCAAGTATACATATTACAAATCCGAATGAATTATCGTGTGTGTGTTAATTCTAAAGAGATTACAAGTTTATTAAAATGTGACTTTTATCAACTTTCTAACTTTTCCTTGATTTTGTTAACGGAATTGAATAGTAAAACGGGAAATAGATCTTGTATAATTTTACTCTCAACATCGTAAAGTAAAATTTGATCTTCACTCCCTTACTTTAAAAGACAATTAAAAGAAATAATAATAATACAAAAATAAAACGCCAATGTGAGCCAACACAAGATGTAATTTGTGAAAATTAATTATTTCTTAACAGAAAATTTACAATACAAACGTTTCGACAATATAATTTTGTCCTCTTCAAGTGTAAAAAGTGAACGGATTAATAATACAAACTTGTCAGCATTAAAATAAAGGAACAGAAATCAAAGACGAAGTATCGTTAAACACTTTTTACTTTCTGCTAAGAAATAATTAATTTTCACAAATTACATCTTATGTTGGCTCACATTGGCGTTTTATTTTTGTATTATTATTAATTATTGGACCTGAGGTTACTTCGTTTATTATTAAAAGAAATAAGTTTTTCAGAAGAAATGAAAAACTATTTTTCAACTTGACAGAAAATTATTGACTAATCAAATAATGTCGACCAAAAGAATATATTCCTAACGTGATCAAATGTTATTTTTGCTATTTTCGTTTCATATTCCTTAAAAAACTATTCTTTTCGAGTTGTGACGATTTTAACGATTTATTATTAATTTTTTATGAAGTTGGATTAATGCACTTTTGATCATTAATAGAGTAAGTTTAGTAATGTTAGTTTATTCATGGTAATAACTCGAAAACATTTTTTATGTTGTCACTTTTAAAGTGAGAGAGCGATATACAATTTTGGAATTACACTATTAAATATTTAAAAAATTGTGGTTCGTAACTATAAGTATTGGTAGTAAATTAATAATATGACAGAATAATAATATTACAGTAAAGCAAGTGTTGCTACGGAATATAATTGCACCTGGTATTTCACTTCGTTTCCTAGCCAACAGAAATAGAAAAGCTGCGAAAGAGCTGCAATCAGGTATACCGCAAACTTTAAGGTATTGGAGCTCTGGCCTATGACCTGCTCGAAACAAAGCGAGACTCTGATCACGATCTGACCGCGACTTGGCACTTTGACTTATCACGACTCACCAAGGCTGCTTGGAAGCCAGTTAGGCAAATCATCGAGGTGCTCGAGAGCATCTGAACGAACATGCCGGCGCTGAAGACTTCGTTGAAGTCGTGTATTATGGCGAGCAGACGTTGATGATTACGGATGGATCGTCCGAACCGCTCGGCGAAACCGCCGCAGCGAATCGCGTCCGGATCATAATTATCCTTTTCGCAGCTGGCTTCGGTTGTAGAAAATGCCCCGTAACAAGAATTTTCATCGATGGTGCAGTTTCGCTTATCCATACCACTTGGCGTCGCATCGTACCAGTCGTTGTTGCCGCAGCTCTTAAAATGTACGTTCAAAATTTCGAGCTGCACGAGAAATAAATTGCATAAAATGGTAAGCAAACTGTCCATCATGATGATGGCGGTTACACCGACGGAAACGGTGCAGGCCTCGACGAAAAAACCAATTCCGTGCCATGGATACACGGTTGTATCGAAGGGGTACTGCGCCCTCACCGGGAGCTCTCCGTGCTCCACAGGCACGACGAACAGCAGAACGATCACGAGGAAGAAACCCAGGATGCTAAATCCGTAGAAGGTCACGCGACAGAGCAGCAGGTATTTGTCCACGATTTTGTCTTCGACGCCAACTGATTAAATGGATAATTAAAACTCGCACGAAAAAAATAATTTTGTTGAAGTATCTAAAAAGAACCTACATTAATTATGTGAAACATTGGATTCCTGTGAAATGAGTTTTTACACCTAATGTAGTTTATAATATAGTGAACAAAGGATGTGTAATAAATACAAAACTCAATAAAGAATAGTTTCTGAGCTATGGTGTATCAAGAGTAATAATTATGCTCATATACTTGTGATCCTTTGATATATAGCTGAAAAATTATTCATTATTGAACTTTATGTCTATGATATCTTTTGTTCCCTACATTATAAGTTACATTATATGTGAAAACTAATTCATTAAGATTCAATTTTTCGGTAATAGCAGGTCTTTAAATATTAGATATAGATCTGAAAATAATTTTGTTTTGGCCATCAAAATGAGTATGTAGGAAACTCCAGTACGATTAAAATTGCTGCAAAAATTATTGACATTCTAGCAATCGGTTTGAGAGCGTCTTACATAATTATTTTTAGTTCAACAAAATTATTTTCGGATCTATGTTTATACCTATAGTTAAATTTTTAGGCAAAACTGTTCTTTTTGTATATCGATGCATGTAATTGCGTTTGGCAGTTACTTGAAAAATTTCAGACTGGGAGATGACTATTCGAAGGAAAAGTGCAATCGTTTTCACAGTGTCGATATCGCTGGTGTGTACTTTGCATCTTACGCAATGTGATATTAGAATTAATGAAACTTGATATGCGATTCCAAAGAAACGTCACGTGTCGCGGATGCATATATCAGGTGCGATTATGCAAACTGCCGAGTAATTCTCTGTGAATGAATCGTAGATCCTTAATCGCGTGTCAAGAGGATACGTCGCGAGAAGGACTGGCAGAGATCGGCAAGGAAAAATTCGTCGAGTGGTCCTGAATTAACGGAGAAGTTGACGAGCTATGATGGCCCTTCCGCAGTGTCCTTTCGACATGCAGATCTCATTAAAATGTAAAATTGCGTGCCCTGCTGTCAGCGTGTTTGCTTAACAGAGGATACATATATTTATGTGACTTGACACTAAAGCCATTTACATGACATTTCATTCTTCCATGGATTGTAACAATTTAATATACGTTTAATCTTTCATTACTCACGCGGCGTGTCCAAGACACGCTTTATGAAATCGCTGAATGTACGAATATGCTATATTTATACACTTTATTAAATTTAACGCAAATTGTTTCACAAATAAAAAATTTTGCTTATTTTATTATATCTCTAAAGGATGTATAAAATATTATTAATCTTCATTTGATTATAAATGATTATAAAGAGAAGAATGAAAATTGAGATATAATGTTGTCACCTTTATGAAAAAAATAATATTGGATAAGTGAAAAAACTATTGGAACGAATAGTGCACAATATTTGAATAATTTTCCAATTATTTCTAACCATTTTTTCGCGAGTCTGATAGTATTTTTCCTAATAAGGGCAGACATATCTTATAAGTAATTACATTAAAAAATACCACGTAAGTAATGTAAAGTCAAAAACATCTACAGATAATATATAGACATGTGTTTAAATAAATATCGACGATAAAATTGTATGACATACGAAATACTGAATGTTCTGAAACAATGATATTTCGTTTAAAATTACTCGATCCTTCTCGGATTCTTTTGCCATATTGGTCTCACACATCTAAATGCTGATTATAAGAACGCAATTTTACTCACTGGGAAACTTGCAGAGTTCGATACAATTGCCGATAGTTTTGCGGAGCAATCGTATGATTTTCTCATGACGAGTTTGGAAGATCATCACCTTGAAGAACACGACGACAATCCCAGCAAAGATGCATCCGTCGTCCGTAACGATTGACAGGTCGTCAAAACTCATGCAAATGTCAGCAAATAGAGTTATCATGAAGACGAGCATAATCGCTAAGACAGATTTGTTGTACACGTGGTATGAGCATCTTAGGAACGCGGATGAATTCGAGTCGAGAGGCCATAAGCCAACGTATCTGAAATCATAAATTATAAAGGAACATTTATAACACTGAACAAATTTTTATCAACATGTTGTTTCTCAACATGTAATAATCCGATATCATTCTTTAATTTTCAAAAATTCCGTTTGGTTTGGAGTAGCAACGCAAATTTGTAATAGCTATAAAAAGTTTAAATATTTTGCTTATAATGTATGAAAATAAATATAATGATATAAATTTTATTTACGATACAATTTTAAATGATATATTAAAATAATGAAATTTATTGGCAATATTTAATGTCAAGAGAATTACACTGATTTATAAATATATTGATGGTTTCTGTTTTTCAACACTTTAATGATAATTCTTATGTATTTTACTCTGTAAAATAAAAGAAAAATGCACAGACTGTATTTATAGTTTCTTCAAAAATAAAATCCTGAATTTCTTGAAAATTTATGGATAGTGAAACTTTCTCAACCTTATATTCTCTTTTAACAACCGAAAATATATAAGAATTATCATTCAGGTAAGTATTGAGAAACAGAAAATGTAAATCAATATAATCGGGAGAAAGAATTCGAAGTCGGCTCGAGGATCACACAAACGATACGCAGATATGAATGCACAATTATAAAATGTAAAACGAGACGACACGATCTTCTGAAATAGGTGATAAACGATCAGTCAATCACGCCCCCGCGTGGTAAGATTTACAACAGATCTCACTTTAAGTAACTGAGCTGCGCATTGTTCAACTTCTGGAACTGTTCCAAACGATTGCTAGTCGTTTCTCGCGTCATCCCTGCTACTCCGTTCCACAACGACAATAAAGGACACGCTGCATGCAGGGCATGGGAGGTCACCTGTGTCGCGTGGGTGCGATTCCTCGAGCGACGTTATATATCAAAGTATTCATTATCGAGAGTCGTTTGAATCTATATTCCCCTTCGCTACACTAGGAGAAAATTGTCCATGATAAACTGGACGCAGATTGTACTGTCTCGTCTTTTTTTCCACGAATTATAGACACTCGCTCGTTGCGGCAACGTCTTCCATCACGCCAATAATTTAAGAAAATAGCGGTAATTGCAATGCTGCTGCAATCCCGCGATTTGTTTCGTTCCCAAGCGTTTGTATTTTACCGCAATAAGAGGCCAATACAGAAACGATTTATCAAGCCGCACATTCATAAGTATAAACGGTCCGTCGTTTTCTATTGAAATAACCGACTCGACTACAAATTTGACAATGTGTGTTTTGCTGTAAGACGAATCGATCGCTGTAGTATTGCTAGTTCTTTCGCGATTGTATAACAATACGTAATTTATTGTTGACGTAAAGGCAAAAAAGAATCTCGAGACATTTTTACAAGAACAGTTTAGTGATAAGTGTATCTATCATTTAAATTTGTTCTTATACATTCGCTTTTATTTTATTGTAATTTGCTTTTATTTATTTATAATTTGTTGTGTATTCATATAACTGCAAAATTAAATTGAATTTAGAGAATAACGATGAAGCTACAATACGTATTTAATAATTTTTTATTTTAAAAAGATTATTGTATTTATATATATATATATCTTTTAAATTTTTAGGCATTTATTTTTATTTAGTTGTGATTTACTTCTATATCTTTTTTCATGTATTTACTTTTATTTATTTATAATTTATTGTTATGTAACTGCAAAATTAAATGAAAATTAGAGAATAAATTAGAGTTATAATACGTACCAAAAAAAATGTGCATTTAAAATAATAAAAAAAATAAATTCCGGTACCGGGAATCGAACCCGAGCCTCCTGGGTGAGAGCCAGGTATCTTAGCCACTAGACCATACCGGATTATGAAAGTCTCTTTTTGAATTTTAAAGAAACGTATAGTACTTAGCTATCGTACTTTAACTGTATAATTTATAAGTCACTAATAGTTTTATATTTTTTTCAAACACTATGCTAGCTAACTGCAATAATATCTCATAGCAATTCTATAAAATATCTCTGAAAACAGTCAATCATAAATAAAAAGTTATTATTTCTATATTTTATATTTAGTAATATAAATAACATTTTTAATAATTATAATAAGCTATTACACATATTTGTCACATAAACAATTAACAGAAAATCGTTTTTAAAAAAGTAAAAAAACATAATATCGTTTGTACTAATCGTAAGTTTCGAACCGACGACGTTTTAGATGATGCACATTTCACGGTAAACTCGGCACTTCGATCGTTATATTTATTAATTACTAAGGCAAAAAAATATAAACAACAATTGCATAACTTACGACAAAAAGCAAAAAATTTTGTCAGAAGTGGGATTCGAACCCACGCCCTCAGAGAGGACCAGAAAGCTCCAAACTCGGTATTGAACCGAGAAGGTATGAACCTTGAGTCTGGCGCCTTAGACCGCTCGGCCATCCTGACAATCGATTACGATTCTGTTAATAATACAGATAAGGTGCATACAGCAGTGCACACGTTAAATTGTTATTTAATTCACTTACTATAAGACACGTAAGAATAAATATCCGTGATTGATTAAATAATCCAATAATATAAAATAATTAATGATCTATAATATAATAATAATTAATAAGTCATAATATAAAATAATTCATTACCAACATAAACTGTGTAAAAAAAAATCAATTATACTTGCCATAAATTTTTTGGAAAGCTCTTTCATCTACAAAATGCGTGTAAGATAAAATAATATATTGCAAAATTTTTAATAAATTTCGAAAACAATTTAATTGATTATTTTCCATTGTGTTTTTTACTCATGACGTTTTTGCGAGCAAAAGAATTTGTCAGAAGTGGGATTCGAACCCACGCCCTCAAAGAGGACCAGAAAGCCCGAAAAACTCGGTTTTTGAACCGAGAAGGAGTGAACCTTGAGTCTGGCGCCTTAGACCGCTCGGCCATCCTGACAATTGAACTCATCTTTCTTAAAATAATTACATGAACATTTATTCAATTTATGTATTTAGATTGTTCATTAATATTATCTTTCAGACTACAAATAATTTTCTTATTTGTATATATATTTAATTTTTACAATATATATTTTACTGAAAACATAAAAATATAAAATTTTAATTATTATTGTTAATTATGTTATTTACAAATTCTACATAAAATACAAATTCGAAAGAGAGAGATATTCAATAAATATAATTTTATAATAAAAGTATTATTTAATTAAAAAAAAAATATATATATATAAATTTCGAGATAAAAGAAATTAAATTGTAAAAAAAAAAAATATGTTTCCGCCCGGGATCGAACCGGGGACCTTGTGCGTGTGAAGCACACGTGATAACCACTACACTACGGAAACTCACGGGAGGATCTTCTTCTGATTTCAAATATCTAGTTCCTACAAGCTATTCTGTAATGTAATTAAACTTTATTAATATGATATTACTTTATATTTAAAAAATTTCATTGAAATATTATAATAATTATATTATATCTGAATTTGATAAATAGAAAAGTACAGATTTCAAACAATTGAAGCATTTTTATTCTATTTTTATACAATTCTATTTATATATATCATACAAATATATTAAATAATAATTAAATACATTATTTATCAAAAATTAATTTTAAACTTTTCATTCGATAACTAATATCGTTTAAACTGCTAGGAATAATTGAAAATAAGTATAATATGTAATATTACAAAAGATAATAATAACATAATAGAATTTATAGATTAATAGATTATCAATTAGATATGAATAGTTATCAATTAGATTGATAAATAAGACAAATGAATTCGAACACAGTAGATATGTCATAATAAAGAGATCGTAAGAAGTACTGACTTATTGTTAGAAGAGTCTTACAGAAATGTAACGCCGTTATGTTTGTAAATAAATCCGTGGGATACAATGCCGTCTATCACGAGAAAAACACGGCCGGCGTGCCGGAGATATTTCGGTACCCTTTGAATTGTAAATGTTACATGACATTAAATCGAGACTGCAGTTCACCGTCGCTTCGATGAATCTGTGGAATTTCTACGGCGTTTCTCTCTCCATTTTCGTCACTGTACAGGGATTTACAGTCCCATTCGGACAATGGTATTGCATTACAGCAGTGATTAAACCGTGAGTTACAGTATTCGGACATTTCAGACTTGATCGACGGTGCCCATGGCTTATAGACACAGCCACTTTGTTACCAGTTGCTGCATTTCTTACGTTTTCTCGCTCAATATTTTATCGACGGAGGCTAATAATACGTTAGAAATTTAACCCACAGTAGGCACATGTAAAAACGCTTTTAACCAGGATTGCGCGTTTACCGTAAAATACTGTATCACAGAGAAGAAACCTGAGAGAGATCATCCTGATAAATGTAATATTGAAAACTATTGACCTTAAATTAAACGATATAATAAATTTCTATGCCATTTAATATATCTAGCTATTTTTTATATATTTATTTTCACACAATATGCAAACACTGTCATGACTTTACAAATTAAAGTATTTCTTTATAACATTTAACGTGATATGATTACAAT